GAGAGAGAGAGAGAGAGAGAGAGAGAGAGAGAGAGAGAGAGAGAGAGAGAGAGAGAGAGAGAGAGAGAGAGGCTGACCGTGTATGTATCGTATATTTCTGTCACGCACGTCTTCCACATACAGTAATCACATGCTATACTGTAACACGCGCACTCACGTGTTATATATAGTCACTCAGATATGTTTTCCACTTCTTCCTTTCCTCCTCATCCTCCTCTTCGTCTTCCTCCTCTTTCTCCTTCTCCTCCTCCTCGTCCTCCCCCTTCTCTTTCGTCTCGGTCTTTCTTCTTGTTCTTCTTCTTCTTCTTCGTCATCATCATCTCTTCTTCTTTTCCTCCCCCTCACCATCATAATTACCCTCACTAATTAACTCGTTAATTGCTTCTCTCTCAGCCTCGCCGCCGCCGCCATGGGAGGCGGATGTTCGGTGGTGGCGACCTCTGGTGGTCGGCCTGACATCGAGCTGACTGAGAGAGAGAAAGCGCTGATCCGCAGGTCGTGGAAGCTGCTGTGTGAAGACAGCATGACCATGATAGGCGGAGAGATATTCCTGAAGATATTCGAACTTAATAACGAGGTCAAGGCTCTTTTCCCGTTCCGTGACGTCACGGGAGAGGCTCTCAAGCACGATCCTGACTTCAAAGGTGATTAGCTGGGAGAGAGGGGGAGAGCGGGAGAGGGGGAGAGAAGGGGAGAGGGGGAGGCAGAGAATGGAAGGAGCTATTATATGAAGGCGACCTGGTCAGAATGGTTTACCTATGTCCCTATTTACTTCTTTGTTGCACCAAATCCTTATCTCACTCTCTCTCCCTGCCATCTCCCCCTCTCTGTCTAATTCTAAAAAAACCCCCCCCCTTTTTTCTTTTCCCTTTTTTCCTCTCTATCTCCTCTTCTCCCCCTCTCCCCCATCTCTATCTAACCCTTGCTCCCCCACTTTCTCCCCCGCTTCCCCTTCTCCCCCTTCTTCCCTCTCGCCTCTCTCCCCCTCTCTCCCGCCTCCCCCTCTCCCCCTCTCCCTCTCTCCCCCTCTCTATCTAACCCCTCTCTCCCTCTCTTCTAACCTCCTCCTCTCTCCCCCTCTCTATCTAACCTTCTCTCTCTCATCATCTGTAGGTCACGCTAGCAGATTCATGCAGGCGTTGGGAGCAGCCGTAGATAATTTAGACAACCTACGTCACTCTCTCGAACCTCTGTTATCAGCGCTGGGTAAGACGCACACTCGCTACACGGACCGAGGATTCACTCCGGCTTTCTTCGACGAGTTCACGGCGAGTATTCTGCACGTGTGGCGGGAAAGACTCGGGAGGAAGTTCACGCCGGAGGTGCGGGCCGCCTGGCTGGCCATGGTTTCCTTTATTGCCACCGCGATGAAGGACGGCTACAGGAAGGTTCGCTGGGCGCGCGTAGAGGAGGGGAACGAGAGGCGGGGGAGCGCAACGGGACCCGTGGATCGACACAAGTTCGATGAAGAGATTCTGAAGCTGATGGCGGAGAAGGAGACGAAGTAGGAGCGACGGTGGCGCCATCCGGCGTTACGCGAGAGAGTAGGAAGGAGAGGGAGGGAGCCAGGGGAAAGGGAGCAAGAGAGAGAGAGAGAGAGAGAGAGAGAGAGAGAGAGAGAGAGGATATAGAGATAGAGAGAGAGAGAGAGAGAGAGAGAGAGAGAGAGAGAGAGAGAGAGAGAGAGAGAGAGAGAAAGAGAGCGAGTAGGAGAAGGTAAGAGAAGGTAAGAGGAAGGGGGAATTATGAGTAAAAAAATGACGTCATAGGATCAGGGCGTTGCCTCTTTACACATGAGCCCTGACCTTATGTCATATTGTATATAAGTACATGCGTTCAAGTATAGTGTATAATATATATATATATATATATATATATATAATATTATATATATATATATATATATATATATAAGTCTAGTGGTTGTCGTGTGTATATAAGTGTGTTCACATATCATGCGTTCCCGCATTACGGCCACAAACCTGTGTATAGCGGCCAGTCAAAGTCTTAAATAGTCTTCATAAACAGGTGGCCTGTCTATAGAGGTGGTTTCACTGTTTGACCGCTACTCAAGAGAAACATTAGGTGGCTATTACGACCTAAACGACCGGTGACCGGTATAAAGAGGTGGTCAATATCTCAGGTCGAACTGTATTACTGTACTATAACTGTACTACATATTGTACTGTATTACTGTACTATAACTGTACTACATATTGTACTGTATTACTGTACTATAACTGTACTACATATTGTACTGTATTACTGTACTATAACTGTACTACATATTTTACTGTATTACTGTACTATAACTGTACTACATATTGTACTGTATTACTGTACTATAACTGTACTACATATTGTACTGTATAATAGTCGGGAGTATTAGCGTGATTATATTACACAGTATTGTACAATAACATGCAGTACAATAACTGCAGAATTACTAACACCAGACGAAGGAGTGTCGATTGAATTATTATTAATGATATTTTGGGAGAGTTCGCGCTGAGCTGGAATTTCTAATAAACAATAATTATTACTTATTACTACTTATTTATAGCAATCTCATTCAGAGAAAGCTAGACNTATATATATATATATATATATATATATATATATATATATATACCATACAACGAGTTACGTAACTTCGTCGTTTTCAGCTGTCTGTCTTCTACCTCTGGATGTTTCGTATATTTTCGTAATAAACGATCAAACAAAGAATATTCAAAAAATAAGAGTGTCTTTCATCATGTATCATAGTATGAATATTACATACGACACACGAGGCTGCGGTTTACAGCTTATTAAGCTTTATTGAGGAGGGAGGGGGAGAGGAGGGGGAGTGGAGGGTGGGGGAAGGGGAGGGGAGGGTGAGTGTGAGGGGAGGGTGAGGGGAGGAGAGTGGAGGGTGAGGGGAGGGTGAGGGGAAGGGGAGGGGAGGAGGAGGGGAGGGGAAGGAAGTAGAGTGGAGTAGAGACGGAGTGGAGGGTGAGGGGAGTGGAGTGAAGTGGAGGGTGAGGGGGGATTACTCCTGCGCTTCTGTGATGTGCGTTCCTGTCGTACGTACACGTACCTGTGTACCACGTACATGTGTACGTGGTACACAGGTACGTGTACGTGGTACACAGGTACGTACCTGTGTACCACGTACACGTACCTGTGTACCACGACGTGTACGTGGTACACAGGTACGTGTACGTGGTACACAGGTACGTGTACGTGGTACACAGGTACGTGTACGTGGTACACAGGTACGTGTACGTGGTACACAGGTACGTGTACGTGGTACACATGCAGGTACGTGTACGTTGTACACAGGTACGTGAACGTGGTACACAGGTACGTGTACGTGGTACACATGCAGGTACGTGTACGTTGTACACAGGTACGTGAATTTAGTGCAACCTAACTCGACCCCTAGTTGCGGTGCGTATGATTAATATGCTCTTGAATATATATATATATATATATATTATAATGTTTTTATATATATATATAATCCAGAGAGACATGATACAAGATTAATAAACAGGTCCGCATGTAATGGACAGGTACGAATCTTATAAACAGGTACGTACGTATCTTATAAACAGGTACGTATGTAATAAACAGGGACGTGTGTAATAGACAGGTACCGTATCTTATAAACAGGTACGTAAACAGGTACGTATGTAATAAACAGGTGCGTATGTAATAAACAGGTACGTGTGGTGGACATGGTGTATTTATAGATTATAGTTACATCGTGTATGCGGTGTCCGATCGATCGACAGGCAGTATAGTTACTTTCCCGCCTTAACATCAGTTTCTACATTTCTCACGCTTCACAGGTACGTGTACGTGGTACACAGGTACGTGTACGTGGTACACAGGTGCGGTTAATTTATATTTGCGCGCTCGTGAATTATTTCTGCCGAGAGATGGCGCTGCGATGTCATATTACGGGAGAACACGTTCAACGCTGCCTGGTTTCGCTAAAATATCTCTCACATACGTTGCATAAGGAGGTGCTGCCCTCTTTAAAGTCAAAGGTTACACAACAGTGACAACACGTGTTTCTCCCAGAGCTAATGTCAACGCGTGGTGTAAACATTGAATTTCTATCGTACCGCCGGTAAATATATCCTCGTTTCGATCAAACTTAAAGCTTTAATCAGACGCGGCAATGCCTTCGTCAAGGAAGAAAAGAAAGGCCGGTAAAAACAACAATAACTCGAACACCGCCCGTAAAGCCAGGCGAGTTGATAAAGTGGTCAAAGCCAACACTGGCAACAGCAGTACTACTGACACTGTACTCATCGTGGAGAAACAAGTTGACGTCGATGACAGCAAAGATGACAAACTGACCGCCTTCGTTCGCTGGTGCGACGACAATGATTTCAAGGTCAACAGGAAGGTTAGAGTCGGTAAGAACGGCTCGTGTTACAACTACGGTCTGCTGGCCTGCGAAGACATCGCACCCGGAGAATCGCTGTTCCAGGTTCGCGTTCCAAACCTATTCGATCGTTTATCTTAGTAACACATTGTCAACACCATTAGTTATGTATCTGCCATCTGTTTTGATAAAAAATTGTTTCTATGTGTTATTTTTATAATTATATACTTAGTAACTCTATGTAATAAATTAGTATTACATGATGTAACATATGTCCATGTTCCTAATATCAATGTATAACATGTCCTATGTAACATGGTCGAAATATAAGTTATATTTACAACGTGATAATAAATATTTAATTATTATATATAACGTATCTAAATCCTAGAAATTAAACTTTCACACATGACGTAATCGCTCATTTAATGTGATACGTGTAACTCACAATATGGAGCAGTTCCCCGTAAATTTGTTTTCCCGACGCCACCAAGATTCTCCCTCCATCAGCAGCGGCATGCGTCGTCCATCTTGTTGCCACGGCGACATATCGCTGATCTCCGCGTCCGTTTCTCCCGCAGGTTCCGCGCCGGATGCTGCTCAACGCCACGACCTCTGACCTCGCCGACCTTCTCCGCCGGGATGCTGAGCATCTAACGAGTGAGAGCGGCTGGGTTCCCATCCTCATCGCGCTCATGTACGAGTTCACAAATCCCTCCTCCAGGTGGCGCCCCTACCTCGATGTCGTCGACTTCTCACGTCTAGACCTTCCGATGTTCTGGCCCGAGTCGGAATTGGATTCCGAGCTCCGGGGGACCGGAATTCCGGAGGCGGTGCGGCGGGACGAGAGGAACATCCGGGCGGAATACGACGCCGTCGTCGCTCCCTTCCTCGCTCGCCACCGGGGGGCGCTGCCGGCAGGCTGCGAGGGTCTCACGCTGTACCGACGCATGGTGGCGTTCGTGATGGCCTACAGCTTCACAGAGCCTGACGACGACGAAGAGGAGGAGGGGGAGGAGGAGGAGGAGGGGGAGGGGGAGGAGGAGGAAGGGACAACATCAGGAGAGAAGGAGGAAGGAAATAAATCAGAAGAGAAGGAGGAAGGAAAGAATCCCAAAGAGGAGGAGGACAACGAGAAGGAGAAGAATGAGAAGAAGGAAGAGGAGCAGAAGGAGGAGCAGGAGGAGGAGAAGGAGAAGGAGAAGGAGAAGGAGAAGAATGAGAAGAAGGAAGAGGAGCAGAAGGAGGAGCAGGAGAAGGAGAAGGAGGAGGAGAAGGAGAAGGAGAAGGAGAAGGAGGAGGAGAAGGAGAAGGAGAAGGAGAAGGAGGAGGAGAAGGAGAAGGAGAAGGAGAAGGAGGATGAGGAGGGTAGGAAGAGGAGGAGACCCGCTCCCACGATGGTCCCTCTCGCTGACATGTTAAACGCCGTTCCGCGCTACAGCGCCCGTCTAAGCTTCGACGCTGACGCCCTACGCATGACCGCGCGTCGCACCTGTCGCCGCGGCGACGAGATCTACAACACGTACGGTCGCCTAGGCAACGCCGACCTGCTGCACATGTATGGCTACGCGGTGGTGCCATACCCGGGAGATTCCGTCCAGATCCCGACTCGCGCGTTTATCGAGACGACTAGAGACATCGCCGTCGCCGCGGACGACGAGCTGCTGCCGGGGAAGTGGCGCCTCCTGGTGGAGCTAGGGTTGGCGACGGAGGAGGATTACAGAGTAGGAGTAGGAGGAGGAGAGGGAGGAGGAGAGGGAGGAGGAGAGGGAGGAAGAGAGGGAGGAGGAGGAGAGGGAGGAGGAGGAGGAACAGGAGGAGGAGAAGGAGGAGGAGGAGGAACAGGAGGAGGAGAAGGAGGAGGAGCAGGAGGAGAAGGAAGAGGGGTGGAGTTTTGCGGAGAGAGGTTGGACGAGGAGGCACGAACCATCCTGAGGATTCTCACATTGGAGGACGAGCAGAAACTGCAGGAATACAGGGAGAAGGGAGGCTGGAGCACGGATGAGGAGGGGGAGGAGGAGGAGGGGGAGGAGGGTACCCTGAGCGCGGCGAGCGTGCGACGGCTTCCCCGTGAGTCGCGTGTGCTGCTCGCACGCGTCGCGCGGCGTTGCCTTGCAGGGTACGCCACCGGCGTGCGGCATTACGACGCGCACCATCTCGCCTCGGCTTTCCGCCAGGTGGCGCTGACGCAGCGCGCGAGGTACGCGGGGTACGTCAGACTCGGGCAGCGCCACCTGCTGGCGAACCTGATAAAACTGTGCAATGCCATCTAGCGGTGGATTCTTCGTGATTCGATCTACGTTCAGTTGTTGTCTGATCGATGTTGTTCTATTGTTTTTGTTCTATTGTTGTCGTTCGATCGATGTTGGGCGTGCGGTCGTGCAAGAGACGGACTTGTGAGGGAATCTGTCGCAGGTCATTGACATGTTGTAAACGTACGCATGTTTAGGACTGACTGCTGATTGGCTGCCGAGTGGCTTGCCGCCATTGGATGCCGTTCAAGCGCGCCTCGCCAGTAGTGTGAACGATTTGTGATCCGGATCATGTGATAATGTGTCCAAACAAACGCACAGTTAGTTGAACACTAAATATTGGCGTACGTGTGCGATAAAAGGTGCGAGTAGGAGAGTTATAATTGTGCCTGATGTTATTTAATCTGATACCAGCGTGTTTACGTTATACTTGATGACGTCACTGTCAGAAGTTTCCTCGTTCGTCGGATGTGCACTTGTTTTATCCGTCTGCTGTTACATCTGTCATCATAGATCCCTTAAAGGAAGAGAAAATCTTCTGAAACTGTGCAGCATAACGGACGTGTGGTGGTGTGGACGGTGGCGCCATCTGACGAATGGAAGGTTCGGGAGATTTACGTCCGACACGACGAGCGATAGTTCTCACAAACACTGCCTTCTGTTTTGTATTCTTTTGTAATAAATACGAAACCTAGAAATTTTTGTTTGTCGCCCTTTTCTATCTGTTATTTCATTATTGTTCCGTGGTGCACTCCCGACTTACAGACACATGGGTTCCCCGATGTGTAGAGATGAGAATAAAATTAGAAGTAAATTTCCAATTCGAAGTACATTTATTTATCGAAAATTGATAAACAACTTGACAATAGACAGCAAAGTAGCTTCTATGTGTCCATGAATGTCAAAAGTTTATTCTATGTCCACACTGGTTTTGCAGTATAGCCATGTGAATCCTGCCAGAGCTCTACCTTAGTGATTATAGCTGTAATAAACTTTTCTCTATTGATTTGATCCACTTTCTATATTAATTTGCTCAACTCTTTCTCTCTTTGTTTTCGGTATACTCTCTTGGACTAATCATTACGAGGGTAGTGCCGCTAAAGGGATCGTTGTCGTATATGTGGTACCCAAGGTGTCGGCGAGTATGTCGCCTACGCCTACTTCCTAACCCTAACCATATCAAATAGTTACCTCGGGTACATAGTATACGCCATTATGCAACAACGACCCTTCGTGCGGTAGTGCCAATGTGTACATGTACATGTACAAATACGTGCACATGTACAAATTAATACATGTACATGTTAAAATACGTGTACATGTTAAAAATACATGTACATGTACAAATACGTGTACATGTAAAAATACATGTACATAACCCAAATACATGTACATGACAAATACATGTACATGTAGAAATCCATCATGTACATAAACATGTACAAGCACATGTACATGTACATCATACATGTATCGGCGTAGATCATAGGTTCACGGGAACAACTGCTTCTATCTCGTAGTTTTGTACTCATTCGTATAGTGATCCAACATTTAATCCTTGAATTTAAATCAAGGAAATCTGCTAACATGTTTCTAGAAACGTAACCGCAATGTAAACAGAAAAATTATTCTGCGAAACCTTGACATAGGAAATACGTTTATGCTTTATACACGTTAGATGGCGCACAATAGTTTTTCCAGCTTCGCCGCCATTCGTCGATCGAGGAGGTGTGCGTCGTGACGTCACGGGCCATTCACCCTGGATAGATCGGATTCGGAGAGCGACGGGTCAGCCATTTATAAACATTCAAACTTTCCCCATTTCGGATGTTTTCGGGGAATGATTTGTACGATATCCGATCAATATTGCTGCCAAGACGCCCGATCTATAGACTCATGTAGATGTCACCTTACCATAGCGCTTACTTTTTGTGAATGAAGTGATAATATAACTTGTCGGTTATATCTGCACTGACTGTCGAGTCGGGGAGTGTGCGAGTGTGCGTGTGTGCGTGCGTGCACGTGTATCATATACGGTACAGTAAGTAACTCCCTTAGCTGCCTCATATCTGTTCAACTCGATCCCTCGATCGGACGTGTGTGCGCGGAGTTTGTAACTCCGTCGGTGACGAATTCGTTTGCAGCTCGGCGTTCTAGAACGTTCCTGCTGTAACCACCGCTAATCATTGATCAATGTCACACGATCTCTCTCTCTCTCTCTCGTTCTCCCTCTCAGCCGTCGTTTGTTAGCTAGCAGTGTTAATGTGTGTGTGTGTGTGTGTGTCTCGCTCTGTGTTGCCGACTGCTAGGTTATTAGTGAATCGCATGACTGGTGAACTGAGAGCTTTTCTCTCGGCCTCCTCTTACCCCCGCCTCCCCCTCTCTCTCTGTCGCGCTCTCTTTCGCCTCGCTACATGCACCCGGTAATTGAACAACGTTTGTGATGTCTCAGTCGCCGTGAGTCGTGTCGGATACGTTCGAATCTCCGTTCGTTCTCGTTGCCAGGCACAGACATTCTTCTGTCGCTGTCTCCCTCGTCACGCCGACCCGCCAAACACAGGAACGTCCGTCGCGCAACAATACAGTGACATCACGCGCTGTCGCCGTGACGACGTAACATCTGCCGTCTCGCTCCCATTGAACTCGGTCGTCTTCTGACGGCACCACCAGGGTGCGCCGGCATCGACGGACCTCGCCCCGAAACAGCCGACAGACGGGGAGTGTTATCCGAAACCCTCGTGGATGCATCGCTCGCTGCCACGGTAACCGCTACTGTTGCTGCGGCTGCTGCTACGATCGTGTGTCTGCCGTGTGTTAGTGCGCGTGTGTTAGTACGTGCGTGTGTTAGTGCGCGTGTGTTAGTGCGTGCGTGTGTTAGTGCGCGTGTGTGTTAGTGCGCGCTTGTGTTAGTACGTGCGTGTGTTAGTGCGTGCATGTGTTAGTGCGCGTGTGTTAGTGCGCGTGTGTTAGTGCGCGTGTGTTAGTGCGTGGGTGTGTTAGTACGTGCGTGTGTTAGTGCGCGCGTGTGTTAGTGCGCGTGTGTTAGTGCGCGCGTGTGTTAGTGCTGCCTCGCGTGGGATTCTAACTCTGCCACTGACATCAGCATCACCGTCGTCGTCGTTGCTACGTGCCATCGCTGCAGCGAATCAGGTTTCCTGTCATCCATCCGTGACACTGTTCGTCCGTCAGTCGCCACGGTAACGCGATCCATCAATCGCGATAACAACAAACTCGAGAGAGAGCCTTTGACCCCTCACCAACGGGCGCGCCGTCTACAGAAGGAATCCTCGCGTCCTGCGGCGCCCCCTGGAGTCCGGGCGAGTGTCGGACGTCGATGGCCGCGGAGGGAGCGGTGGCGCCACCGGTGGCGGCGGCGGCGGCGGGGGAGGAGGACCCCAGCAACGGTCCCGTGTTTGCCGCGCCGCCCCACGAGGCGCCCTCTAGGTTCTGGTTCTCGCTGACAACGCGGGACCAGCGCGCGAGATCGGAGGCTCTCGACTCCATCGAGCGAGCGTTCTCCGGCTGCATGGTCGCCACCGGCAACGAGGGCGGTGGCGCCACCTGCAGGGACGATGGTGACGGCACTGCGAGCGAGAGCAAGGGAGAGGCGGCGGCGGCGGCGGCGGCGGCGGCGGTGACGGTGGAGGTGGCGGAGGAGGTCGTGGAAGGAAGACAGCTCATGAAAGAACAGCTTCCTGGCTTGCTGAGGCTCTCCCTTCAGTGTCCGTTCCCAGATGTGAGGGATCGCTGCTGTAACATCCTGCTCAATCTCAAGGTCAGTATGTGTATAGATGATATTAGTTATTACGTCTCAGGGATAAACAATTAAAAATATATATGTATACACAATTTTAATGAGCGCACAACTACACATATCTCACACACGTACTATATATAACATAGATATCTCACACACGTACTATATATAACATAGATATCTCACACACGTACTATATATAACATAGATATCTCACACACGTACTATATATATAACATACTCTCGTCTCTCGCTCTCTTTCTTTCTCTCTCGCCTCTCTTTCCTCCTCTTCGCCTCAGCTCTCTCTCTCCTCTCTCGTCATCAATCTTCTCCTCTCTCTCTCTCCTCTCTCTCCTTTCTCTCTGCTCTCTGCCTCCTCTCTCCTCTCGGTTCTCACATCAATACACACTCGTCTCGTTCTCTCTCTCTCCCTCTCTCCGGATCTCTTCTCTCTCGCTCTCGTCTCTCTCTCTCTCCTCCTCGCTGTACTACAACTCTGACCTAGTTCTACTGTATAATTCCGTCTATTGCTCTTCCTCCTTCATTTTTTCCCTTCTCATTATGAATACGGTCATCTGGTACTACTCTTTACCACTCAGTTTCTACTTAAATCTCCTCCTCCTTCTCCTCCTTCTCCCCATCCCATTTCTTTCGGATCTTTCTCCCTCTCCTCGACCTCCCCATCGTCATTTACCCAACCATCTTCATCCCCATTTTCCCTTTTCACATCTTTCTTCCTCTTCCGACGCATTCTCTCCCTCTCCCTTTACCCTTCTTTTCCCCTTTACGCTTTCCCTTCACATTTTTTCCCCAACTCTTTCCCCGCAATCCCCGCGTCTCCCCTTCACATCAATTACCAAGTACTGTAGCGTAAGCTGTGGTAGAGGGCAGGCCTGACGGGAAGCATGTGCAGTTAGAATTCACGCAGTGACCAGCAATGCCACCGCACACACAGCCGTGGCTCACCACACACACACACGCACGCACGCACGCCACGCACGCACACACGCACGCACAACACCAGCACACACAACTCACATACTCCACATGACGCACTTCACCGTCACATCACCTCACTCACTCTCACTCACTCACTCAACTCACTCACTCACTCCACATCACTCACGTCACGTGCCAACTCCACTCACGATCACCTCAGCCGCGTCACTCACTCCACTCACTCCTCCTGTCTCTCTCCTTCTTCTCATCTCTCTCATTACTCTCCCGCTCGCTCACGTCACTCTGCTGTCTCCTCATCTCTTAC